ATCATTGATGTTTTTGTATAGACTATTAAAATTGGTCTTTGTAAAAAAAATTAGTCTTTCAATTCATAAAAAAAAAACCAACTAATATTTTAAAAATAATTTTATATTTTTAAAAATAAAAAAGAAATCTATTTTTTAAAAATAAAACAATGCATCAAATATATTTTTTTTAAAAGTTTAACTTTAATTTATTTTATAATATTTTTAGAAATACAAAAAAAATTAATATAAAAAAATGCATGAAATCTATTTTTTTAAAGTTTAACTTTAATTTTTTCATGTATTTTAAAAAGTATTTTTTCGATCACTTGAAAGAGAGGGTAGCAAGTCCTTTAAGAATGGGTAGTGAATAACAAAATAGAAATAGGACCAACAAAAAAAATCATACATGATTGCATTTGCGATCTAACATCCTTCTACCTTGCATGATTGATCTTGTAAAGAAACTACTCATAATAGCATATTAAAATTCAGATTTTTTTTTAAATAACTTAAGAGATGATATATTAACATTAGGGGATTTCTTTTTTCATCCGTGTGAACTCAAATTTACTCTTAAGTGTTTTTAGAGATGTATCTTAGATCACTTCATCCTTCGCAAATCAAACAATCATCAGATTCTATAAAAAATTAGTTTGGAGATGCATCTGACAAACTTTCTAGAATGTATTCGAAGATGCATCTGAATCCGATTTGCGTCACATTTTTTTAGATGATTAGTTTAACCATTCAATGACATTTTTAGAAATACATCTATGAAAATGTCAAACAGAGAATTGAATACAACATCATCTTGCATGATCATCTCTCTCACACTCCATATCAATTCTATAACCCAAAAATCTTTTTAAAAAATTATTCTCACAAAAATTTTCAACTCCAAATCATTATTTTTGTGTTTTATCATATCAAAGGGAACAAAAAAAACTTCAATTTATTGATTGAATTATATCGAAGACAATATAATCAATACAAAAGTCATATCATGGTTAATTCAAACTTTATATATATATATATATATATATATATATATATATATATATATATATATATATATATATATATATATATATATATATATATATATATATATATATATATATATATATATATATATATATATATATATATATATACACACGAAAGTTTTACCCCATACCCCTACAATTATAACCATACCCCTACACTAAAATTTTTTGGACTAAAATATCTCGTATAAAAATTTATAATTTTTTTCATTTGTTCACCGAAAGACTTTTTGCAAGTCTTCCGATTCATATTTTTTCGTTTGTTCACCGGAAGACTTTTCGGAAGTCTTCTGGTTCACATTTTTTTTCGTTTGTTCATCGAAAGACTTTTTGCAAGTCTTCCGATTTATATTTTTTTCGTTTGTTCATGTTTTTTTTAATTTTTAATTAATATTTAAGATTTATTAATTTTATATAAAGACCAATTTAGTGAATTTTTGTCTATTATACTTAATATATAAAAATTCTATAAATAGAGAATCATTTTCATAATATTTTCTATTTGCTATAATTATTAGAATAATATGAGATTAAAATCATTTATTTTAAATGATCATAATTGTAGAATTTTCTCAAATATCTTATTAATCTTGAAAATTAATAAATAAAATAAATTTAAATATAGGATATAAGTTTACATTATTCAATATATTTAATCAAATGAAAACATATGTGATAAATCAATAATGTATTTTAACTTAAAATGATCACAATAAGTTAACTTGCAAAATAATATAAGTAATAAATTAATAATGTATTTTATTTAAAATAATCACAATAATAGAACACGCAAATAATGTGTTTTATTTATAGGACTGATATAGTTTTATTGATTATTTAATTTTGAATACTACTATGAATATAGTATTTAATCTATACTTTAGAACTCACATAATTATAAATATAAAACAATATTATTTTATTACCCATATTTTTATTTAATTAAAAAAAGTTAAGAATATAAATTTATTATTTGTTTTTCATTTTTGTTTGATATTTTTTTATTTATAACTTTTTTGCATGTTATATACTGTGCTTGCTTTAAATAAAATATATTATTTATTTATATCTTATATTTTTATTTTATTAAAAATATAAAATAAAGTGAAATTATTACTTATATTTTAATTTGGTTGATTTATTTAATTGAAAGTTCGATTTAGTTTTTGTTTTTTTGCAAGTTATATTATTGTGATCATTTTAAATTAAAATATATTATTGATTTATCACGTATGTTTTCATTTGATTAAATATATTGAATACGGTAAATTTGCAAGTTTAGTAAGATTTGTTTGCAAATTCTAAATATATAATACTAATGTGATAATATTATGATAATTATAGCAAATAGAAAATATTTTTTTAAAAAAATTCTCTATTTATAAAATTTTTATATACTAAGCATAATAGATAAAAATTTATTAAAATGGTGTTTATATGAAATTAATAAATCTTAAACATGAATCAGAAGACTTCCAGTGAACAAACGAAAAAAATATGAACCGGAAGACTTGCAAAAAGTCTTCCGGTGAACAAACGAAAAAAATGTGAACCGAAAGACTTCCGTTGAACAAATGAAAAAAATATGAACCGGAAGACTTGCAAAAAGTCAAGTCTTCCGGTGAACAAATGAAAAAAAATTATAAATTTTTATACGAGGATATTTTGGTCCAAAAAAATTTAGTGTAAGGGTATGGGTATAATTGTAGGGGTATGGGGTAAAATTTCCTATATACACCTGCCCCTCAGTCGGGCAGGCCCAATCCAGTACTATGCTGATAAGGTCCAACAAGACCCAATTCCACTATGTCGGGCACAATCCTCAACAAGACACACTAGTTGGACAGATGACTCTCTTGACAGGGAAGCCTGCGCGCTTGTGTTGGGCTTGACAATTGGGCTCTCTTGACAGGGAAGCCCGCGCGCTTGTGTTGGGCTTGACAATCTGACCCAATGCAATGTAACTGTTGGCATTGCGTTGGGGCACATTATAGTTCCGGTACTTACTTAGACATCAAAGCATTAGACGACAATGCCAATGATCTCACCTGATCAATAAGGAGTCATCAGAGTATTTCTTCTGTATAAAAAATACTATCGTTTTAACAGATACGATTTGTTTCAAAATAAATGTCATTCTCACATTTCAATGTAGAAATAATTGTTAATTTTTCAATTATATCATTTAATTACTACTTTATACATTATTTTCAATACTTTTATAAAATTAATTTAGTAAAAGCGATAACATTATTACATTTCTTAATTTATATATAAAAATTTTAAACCACAATCATTTTATAATAAAAGAATTAACTTTCATATACACATTCAAACTTAAATAAATAATATCATCAGAATATGCAAGTGCTCAAATAGAATTGTAATTCATGTTAAATTGAGTTATTAACATAAAAATAATATGAATTAACCAATGTTTGGATATAATCCACACGGAAACCTCAATTTGGGATAAACTAGTAGTTTATTGCATATAATCCATATAGAAATTGAGCTGAAATCCCAAAAAAAAAATTGATAGATTAACCATTTTTAAAATAGTTTATAGAAACTAAAAATCACTCTATGATTTTTTTCTGAGTCTTTTGGAGTTATGAAGTCAGATGTAGAAAATTTTCCAGGGCCATTTGAAGTGACCATCCTCTTAGCTGTGGTGTTGTTCAAACTCGTTTCTGAATTAACCAATGAGTAGTAATTTAAATATATCTTTTACATGTATTATTTTATGTACTAATAAACATGTATACCGGTGTGATTACTTATCCATAATAAGAACATGGAAGGGTATAATGAGAAGAATATATCTATTTATTTGTCATAATTAAAATTAAATATAATTTCTATTTCAAGCATGAAATCAATAAGGAAATTATATCATTTTATTTTCATCATACAATTGTTATATTTATCTTCATAAATACCATAAAAAAAAACCTTTTTTTAATAATTACAAATTACTACACATTTATCCTTAAAAAAAAACTTACAATACATTATGAATTTTAAGAAAGAAGTTACAACACATTTATAAGGATGTCAATATCACACACAAAGAATCGAAATAAGAAATCTTTAGAATAAAATAAGAATAAGAATAAAAAGAATGTTCATGTTGTTAGCATGTAAGTTGATGAAACAAAGTGTACACGTGTGGAAACCTAAACCCTGAGGGTGCACGTTTCCTTAGTCTGTTCCTCCTCGTACCTCTTCTTAAGTGTTTTCCTTATTCTTTTCATCTTCAATTCTTCTTCTTTCTTGATTGGGATGAACACTCTTTTGTGTGGTTGAAAAGGTTGTGTTTTTATAACAGGTTCGTTTGATTCTTTCTATGATCAAATCAGCTGTTTTATCTCTTCATATTCTAAATGGGTTTTTCGTTTTGTTAACGAAAGTTCTAATGTTTGTTGAAATTTTGGTTTTTTTGTTTGCTGGTTTTGTGTTGTGTTGTGCCCTTTTTTTGTTTCTCTTTTGTTGTGTTTAATTGAATTTGACATGTGTGTGGTTTTGTTATTTTTGGTAAATTGATCTTTTGTGAGTTGTGATCAAACGAAATTGAACTTTACATGATTTTTATGTTTCTCTCTCTTTGTTGATGAGAGAGAAGAGTATAAGCCGTTAGGGTTTGAAGCAAAGAAGTTAAACCTTGTAGGTCATGTGGTTTAAGGTTTTGGCATGGTTTTAGAAGTTAATTTTGGTATTATTAGTTAATTACCTGTTAAAATGGTTTGTCATTAGAAAATTTTGTAATTATTAGTTAATTAGCTGTTTAAATGGCTTGATTTGTGTCATGTGCTGGAAATTGAAATTTTCATTCAATCTTTTGTCATCATTGTTCTATTAAGCCTGCACCGATTGCTAAGACAACTTCACCATCAATTTAGACTCTGTTGAATAATTTGTTTCAAATTTTTTGCAGATAATTGCAATACAAATCTCATAGGTTGAGATACAATGAAGGATATTATGACTACTATGGATGTAAAAGGCATAAATTGGGTTGGAAACATGTACCAGAAATTCGAAAATATGTGTCTCGAGGCAGAAGATCTGATGTGTGAGGTATGTTCTAATTGTTGTTTAATCTTAATTAGGAGTGGCAATTGCCTGTGGCCAAGGTTTTAGGCCCGTCCCCTCTAATATGCCCACCGTCCCGCCTCATTTTCTTTGCGGGCGCGGGCTTTAGCATCACTTTTTGCAATATTTTGACTTTAGAGATGCAGTGCAGTGCCGCCCCTGCCCTCGTTTTTTGCGAGGTGGGTCAAAGTTTTAGGTCTGCACTCTCACCTTCAACTATGCTCTCAGCCCCGAATGCACGTTTGACGTTTGACACTCATAACCTTAACCTATCCAATGTGCTGATTTAATATATACACAATAGTCAAATATGCTACTTATTACTTAATTACTTAAGTTTTGTTTTAATGATGATAACCATGCTTAATTTGATTTTTATGAATGCATATCATGCCTAATTTATATGGCACCTTTTGTTCTTTGGTTATAGGATACGGTTGAATATATTGAGAATCAGGTGCAGAATGTTGGAGAAAGTGTGAAAAAGTTATATTCCGATATCATGAGAGATTTGATTCCTTCAATTTCATGTATTTTGGATGAAAATGACAATGACTATGAGTGGCCAATAGATCGACGTACCGACCCTAGGTTCGGTAAGAAGCAGGTCCAAACTTTCATGGAAGGACCTGCAAAGGCTAATACCAAGCAAACAACCGAGCTTCGGAAGATTGGTCTTAATCTTGATAAATATGGCATACATGCTGCAACATATGATGGATCTGGTAAGACCGGTGCTTTCTTTACTTCATCTCCAAGGAAGTCTGTCAAAAAAAGCAATATTGTTTCACGTTCGAGACAGCACATCGGGAGCATGGATGTTAAGTCAAATCGAGGTGTTGATGTAAACGAAGTAAATGAAAAAATGGTTGCAAAGGAGATTTTCAATGAAATCCCTACGGTAGAAACAACAGATACAGGCATTCCATCACAATGTTGTGAGATATCGAACGAGGATCAAAATCATATTGCTTGTGTTTCAAAGCCAGCTTCAGATGAAAAAAAACAGATCGATACGAGTTCTTATGATGGTGAGTATTTCCTTATCTCATGAATACTAATATTCTCACATGATCTCAATCTTACCAACATTATTTTCAAGTACTTAACATTATTAAGTCAAGTATGTTGATCTAATGCCATGGTAATTAGTACTTAATATTTAAGCAAATTCCGAATTTATTAAGTTTCAATATACTGTAACAAAGATTGATACTGCTATTACAGATCAGAGTCATAAAACCATGCAAGAAGATCTGAAGCTTGAGGAAACATGTGTTATGGTGACGAGCGACGATCTCGAATTAGTCCCCAAAGAAATTGCGAATCTGAAGGCTAACAAGGTACACACACACTCCTATCTATTCCTTTCTCTTCCAAAAACGGATCGCATGCATTCGCCTCTAACTTGAAAAATGTTTTTGTTTCTAAGAAGACAATGCGGAAAGGCTTTTCGCTATCGAAGAAATCTGCAAGAAAACAAGAGTATAAAGAGCTTGCAGTGTGGCATGGGAAGAACGGAGATTTAATGAAGAATTTAGATGAAACTTGTAATGTGTCTGAACCTGAATGGGAGCTTCTGTAGATACAGAACCAATTCTACAAACTTGATTTCCATTCCTAAAGTCTTTATGAAGGAGATTAATGCACCACCCTTGTGAAAATTTGAGATGTTGAGAAGATTTAAATTGCTAAAATATCCTTGTAACTTTCTTTATTTTAGAAATAATAACACTTCCTATTTGCATATCATTCACTTATTGCCATTGTCAATTGCATGTCCATTCTGATTGATTCAGCACCAACAAATTCCGGCTTACTTTGATAAAAAAAAATTGTAAAGTTCTATAATTTATAACTCAAATTGCTCTAGAAAATATTACTATTAAAAATCATAGATAGATTTTATTCGTTATAAATATTTAACGGTCCTTATCTAACAAAAGACTTTAAAGGAGATATTTTAGTTATATATATTTTAGGTTAATTTTAATTATTATAATAAATATTTTTATTTTATATTATTTAAAATTATTCAAATTAATATCTTAAATTACAATAAAATTAAATATGAATAAATTATTATTCTGTGAATATTTTTCTGAAATACAATATATTAATTAATTATAAAGCCATACGAGTACAGAATGCATTCATTCCCCCAAACTAAGTTTTTGAACCATATTTATCTAAACAAACTAATCTATGGGCCTCACAATTTCTTGGTCTACCAACATATTTAAGAGCACCATAATCAAGGGAATTTCTTTTCCCATTTTTAGGGGTGGCTTACACCACTAAAAATTTAAATTTATTTTTAGATGTTTTCTCTTCAAATATAATTTAAAATATTTTATCTTTTGCAAATTAAAAATTTCATTTTATTTTATTTTTTAAAATTTGTTCAAAGATGCACTTTTTCTAACATGTATTCGAAGTTGCATTTTCGAAAACAACTTCAAACTCTACTTCCCTTGCATTTTTTATTGATCTAATTTATTTAACTATTCAGTGACATTTTCATAAATGCATCTCCGAAAATGTCAAATGAGAAATTGAATATATCACCATCTTGCGTAATCATCTCTCTCACTTTCTGAAAATGATGGAAGAATTCACTCAATTGAGCGAGTTTGAAAGAGAATCAAATAAGGAAAAGTTGAAGGAAGAACAGTAGTAAATTTATATAAAGATACAACTTTTGATACATTTTAGATTGTACTCGATACACTTTTTTGAATGTATTTTCGTCAACGATGTAACCTTGATAGGATATAATACATAAGAAATATATATTTTTCAATGATGGTGTAAATGTCAACTGTTTCAGTTTACAAATTTTATGGTTTACATTTAATATTTTTGTTTACACAATTTCTTGTGTGATTCTGGTTCAGGGTGATTCTGAATATGCATATTTGAATACACTCCACACTAAATTAAAAAAGAACACAACAGTGCAATTTACGGATGTGCACCGTAAACACCCTTTTTTCGTTAAAAAAAATAGAGTTTATCTGGAGATGCATCTTCAAAAAGCTCCCTGATGACAGGATAAGGTTTCTAAGGTCCAAAGTGACCCAAAATTTGTATAAATAGGGTGTCCTGCATCCCATATTTAAGAAAAAAACGCATCACAATCAGAGAATGAATGCATATCCCCACCTTGTGTTTGTGTATTTCAATGGCGCGAAGTCTCCATTTCAATTTAGAGTCACCGATGACACACCTCGAGTCGATCTAATATCCAAATTAAATACTCTTCTGTGATATCCAGAAAATTTGAAAGTTGTCAAATTCGAGTATTGCTCACCCTCGTTTGACAACGAATGAAAGATACATATCACCAACTTTGAACTCGAGGAAAATGAATATTTAAAGGTCGTGTGGAGTATATTTAACTATTACGTATCAAAAGGTTCAATTGAAGTGGGTGTGAAGATTGCAAGATTCGATGACGATATTATAACTATGTTACAACGTTCGAAACTACCCGTTTATGACGATACGTAATGTCAAATTTATGTTAACAACTATCTATGTAATGTTGAGTATTTTAATTTAATGTCAAGTTACTTTTCTAGATTTTACTCATACTGTCTTTGTTTCTGGTTTGAAGTATCAAATACATTTTCGGATATGCATCTTCAAATTATACTTAATACACTTTCGGAGATGCAAATTTGGACTAAAATTAAGTATAATAGGGGTGACTCACTCGTTTGCGCTCAATTTTATGGGAAATAGGTGCGTCCGAAAATCTATCTCCAAACTCTAGGGACAATTTTAGGTTTTTACCAACGGTTTGTGAGAAGGTATAGAGGAGGGAAAAGAAATTCTCATAATTAAAAGCAACAAAGAATAAATGGATTACTTTATCCATCTCATGAGGTAAGTGTGAACACACTGAAAACTCAATTTTATCCTTCTAATATTTCATAGATGTATCTCCGAATGCGTCTAAAAATGAATTCAGAGATGCATCTCTGGAATAACCCATGCATGTCAGTTATGGCGTATTTGTTTATTGAGCTAGTTTATTTAACAACTCAGTGATAATATGTATCTCTGAAAATATCAAGCGCGAAATTGAATAAAATCCCAACTTGCATATTATTCTTCCTCATGATCAAACACCGTTTATCTCTCAAGACCCTTAAAAAACATCATTCTATTCTCATTCAATTTTTGTCATCTAAAATAACATTCATGTATTTTATCTCATCAAAATGAGTAAAAGAAACTGGAATTTAAGGTAATATGCATGTATTTCCTTCCTCATTGCTTGCATTAAACTAGTTTTGTTGGAAAAAAAATGAACATTAAGTCCGAAGATGCATTTTTGGATTAGTCTGCATGTATTCCAAATATGCAAATTCTAATTTTCTCAACATCTGAATTTCAATCTTATCTTTGTTTTTTTGTTATGCTTGGTTGTAGATATGGTTCACCCTGATACCTTCCTCCAAGCTATTGTGTATATGGATGTTAAACCGAATGAAGTGGAGGGTGATATTAAACCGGGTGATGTCGAAGATGATGTTAAATCGGTTGATGTCAAAGTGGATGTTAAACTAGTTTATTTTAAGGTAGATGCTCGTGAACAATTTACAAGTAAACAAAAGTTTGTTGAGCGTGAAAATATAATTCAATGGATCCGTACGGAGGCCACCAAACTTGGATTTGAAATTGTAATCGGGAGGTCTGATAATAGTTTTGATAAAAGACATGCATTTGTAATGATGAGATGCAAGAGAAGTGGCAAGTACACAAAACTTATTCAAAAGTTGAAACGAGATAACTCTGAAACGAGATAGTGTAATTGTTCTTTTAAGGTGTGTGAAAATCTTAAGGTGAATAGTACATGGAAATTTAATGTGGTTTATGGTATACATAATCACGACGTTTGTCACAAGTTAGCCGGTCATTCCATTGTATGTCGCCTTAATCAAGGTAAGAAATAACTTGTTTTGACATTGAATATGGTGCCACTCAAAAACATACTTGCAACATTGAAACGAAAAATACCTCAAAATGTATTAAATGTCAACCAATATAGAATGCTCGCGGTGTAAACAACAAGGAGATAAGAGGAAGAAAAATTGAATTGCAACAACTATTGAAGCTTTTGGATGGTGATCACTATATTTTTAGGTACACAACGTGTGAGGATGGAATCACCATTCAAGATATATTTTGGGCTCATTCTGATTCCAAAAAATTATTCAACACATTTCCCATTATGCTCATAACTAATTCAACATATAAGACCAATAAGTATAGGCTTCTAATTTTGGGAATTGTTAGTGTTACTTCTACAAAGATGACTTTTCAGTGGTTTTTGCATTTATGGAAAGTGAAAGAAAGGATAATGTTACATGGGTTTTAGATATGTGTCAGACTTTATTGAAAGACCAAGAAAACATGTTGAATTTCATTGTCACTGATCGCGACACCACACTGATGAAATTGGTTACAAAGGTGTTTCCCACATCCCATGTATTACTTTGTAGGTACACATTTCCAAAATGTGAAAAGCAGACTTATACCCGCAGTAGTGACCAAACAAATCAAGGTCAAAGATGGGAAAATTGGTCAAGGCATGTGTGGTATTCAAAAGTATAATGAATGCCTGGAGTGGTATGATAAATTCTTCCACGAGAGAGTTATATGTTAGATCTGTAATACATTTAAGGAGGGTGTATGCGAGATATCCAAATTTCTTGAAATATGATGAGAGTACAACTCTGGACCAAGTGAAGAAGAAAATTGTTTGTGCTTGGATCGATCAAATTAGACACTTTAACAATACAACATCTAACAAAGTTAAATATGCACTTGCTACATGGAATAATTGTTTGGGAAATTGTAAAGGTGATGTTTTGTAGAGGTCGGGACTCCGTGAACCAAATGATCTAAAATCAACATAATGAGATATAAAAATCTTTTGGTCAGAGTATTATTGTACTATAAAACCAATTCAAAGACAACATTCTTTATTCATAACTGGTAAACAACATATCTTAGGCGGGATGAATTTTATTTATCACGAAGCCAAGCAAGTGGAGAAAATAGGGTCAGATAGTTCAAAAAATGCATATCTAAGAAAATGAAGCTTGCAAAACTCATACATATGGATAAAGTTTACAGTCACTCGACAAGGCTCAAATATATCTATCATGATCGAATGGAAGGTAATCCAAGACAGATTTGCAAAATCTAATGACAACATGAAATTGCACATCAATGAGCAGTTGAGAAATGTTTCCTATCTATAAACCACAAATTTGAAACCACCCTTGGAATTGGTAAAAACAAAGGGTGCTCTTAAGAAGGTCAAACCGCCACATGGTGACAATTCTACAAAGAAGCCTTCTTTGTACTTTGAACATGTTGACTCTCATTTTTAGAATTCTCCAGCCAAAATCTCTAAAAAGTATTTTCAAGGGTGCTCGCATTAGCAAACCATCTCCTTCGCCGTTATCACCAAAAATCACCCATATTGGAGAGATGTTGCTTTTTATGCATAAATACATTGAATGGATTGTAGATGTTAAGGGTGATGGTAACTGCGGTTATTGTGCC